AATCACAATCTTCATTATAGCAAAATTCCCAAGTGATTTATATGTATGCATATTAAAGTTTAAGAAGCACTGCTTTAGATGATATTCAATTAGATATTACTCTAATGGAAATTTAAAAATATATGATTTGCACTTTAAATAAATTCTTATTGCATTCATTCTGATTCTGGCTCATATGGACATAAGTTAGAGTTGTTGTAAAGCGCACTAAATCAGGAGTAAAAGCACACTTTTTTATTGTATTGGCTGTGACATCTAATGATAGTGAAAATTCATCAAGTTCTTAAACTTCAAAGAGTTTCTGTTTTATCATCTGTAAAGTAAAAGACTGATTAATACTTCCCCTAGTGCTCAACAGGATTGTTTTAATGGTTCATGAGAGATGGCACATTATTAGTGTTCAAACTCCGTACACATGTAAAGCACTATTATAACCTATGAGTTTATGAGTGGACAATGCCTAAGATTTACAAAGAGCATCTAACTGTGGGTAGGTTATAAGTAAGAGCTCCTTAGAGAGGAAGATAGGATGCCAACTTCAGAATTTGAATAATAACCTTTTTTTTTTTTTGTGCTGCTTTATATCAGAACTACAGGGTGGGTGAGAGAGGGCGTGTCCTAAAGGGAAGGATAGTTTGGGATAATTTAATTTTTTTTGACTGATTTGTTTTAACAAAGCTGAGTGGTCCAATCAATTGCTTTGTACTTAGTTTGATATGAATACATGACCAATAACAACATACGACAAGAGAAAAAGATGAATTTTACTCAGCATTTGCCTTCAATATTTCCTAGGTGCTTCTTAGTAACTGAATTGAGGTCTGAGGAAATGCTATGCATTTGGCATGGCAGTCAGGATATTGTGAGGGATGTCTTCATGGATGTCGATGGTGCAAACTCTTGGTTTTTTCCATTATAGATAAAAAGACCTGTGGACCTCATGAATTCCAGTGTAAAAACAACAATTGTATTCCAGATCACTGGCGGTGTGATAGCCAAAACGACTGCAGTGATAATTCAGATGAAGAAAACTGTAGTAAGTAACTCTTGCCTAATAATGTTGCAGGCTTGACAGCCCATTTAATAAGCAGGATAGCAATTTTTAGTTCAGTTAAGGTATAAATTTGAACCTATCTGTGCTGAAGCTCACATTTTTATACATATATTCACATTTGGCCAAGAATATTCAGACTACATTGACCAGAATCTCAAATGGTAGAATTATTGAAATGCTCATCCTGGGAATTATTTTCTTACAGTTCTCAGAATTGATACGAAAGTATCATGAGGTTTAATGCAACCCATTAGTATGCAATGAAGGAAGCCACTGATGCAAGTTCATGCAATGAGCTGAGTGATGAGGAGACAGTACAAAACATCTCATTCTTTAATAGATGGTATTCATTTCATTTCAGGCTCAAATCCTTTTATGCTACAAATTCACCCATAAGCATCTTTCAGTGAAATATCATTTATTCTCTCTGGAGTTGTGAACAACTTATGTATTCAGGATACTTTTCTGTGAAAATAGAATAACACTATTATCATC